TGACGACGAAAGGGAATTCGCTATGTGCGATTACTGTGAAGATGAGCGCGGTCTGTGTGACAGGCCTCACCTGGTAGAAGGTCGGCGCTTCAGCATCAAGCTCCAAGAGATCTTCGATGTTGATACGGTACGCAACGATGACAAGTATTTTTTGTTATTTTTGCATGACTTATCTGCTTCTTCAACGTATAATTTCCGTCTTCTACAATTCAACTAGCTTATCCCATGCCATGCAAGACGCTATGTCTTGGAGAAGATGGTTTTGAAGATCATGAAAGCATGGAGACAAAGATAATTCAATTAAGGACCCATCATGGTTATGATTTTGTTGTAAAACTATACAATTCTGTGAACTCATCCAATTTTGGTTGCCCGAATTGGAAAGCCCTTTGCAAGGCGTATGATTTTCATGAGGGTATGCTTCTCACCTTCGATCTTGGTGATCCTGACATCGACGAAAAGAATATGACCATTTGGGTCCTTGTTGACACGCTTCCAGTTCTACCGCTGTGTGAGTTTCTCAAACATATTTATTAAGTAATTTATATTGTTTATTTTAAAATATTTGACGGCTTATTTCCATTGACAGCTTATTTTCATTCTTCAAAAAATGTACGGAAGATGGCAGGCAGAACCTACTACTACAATGATGAAGCACAATTAACTTATAAGGAGAAAGATGGTCTTATCGCATTTTTTACTGATCTTGAGAATTACAATAGCTATTATGGAATTCCTCAAAATTATGGTCAATATGTGCCACTAGTGCACGCGGTGTGCTACGGTAACATCAATGGAGATAGCATGGTAAGATTTTCTACTATTACGACATCCGTGCATCTTTTGCATAAATTTTTTTAAAACTAAACTACATTGCTAACTACAAAGTTATTACTATGTTTTTGAACAGAAAATCTCGATGGATTGTGTGCCTCATCTGATGTTGCCAAGAGGTCGCGTTGATGTTATGAGCTTACGGCCACCACGGCCAGGTCAGCCGCAGTATCCACACCACTCCTGTCCATACCGGATTTCTAAAAACGAGGAAGCCATGATAATAAATAATTGGAAAAAACGTTTCGGCCATCGTAGAGAGCTACTTGGAAGCAACATTGTGCGTAGGCCAAGACTTGGAGACAGGATGATCCCCGTTCTTCATTATGGAGAGTCCAGTTTCCTTAATGAAGAGTCAATGCCTATCTTGTTTTATTATATTTTACCTAAGAGAGGGTAGAGTAGGTCCTATGAGAGGAGTAGGTCCTAGGTAGAATGTGTTATTATGTGCTACAATGTGTTAGAGTTGATGAGGAGGATGAGGAGTTGTGATTATGACTAGTGACCAACTTGTTATATATATGATGTCTCATTGACGAACATTGTTTGGTGGTGATGACTAGTACTCCCTCCGTCCCAAAATTCTTGTCTTGGATTTGCCTAGATACGGATGTATCTAACACTAAAATGTGACTTTGTACATTCGTATCTAGACAAATCTAAGACAAGAATTTTGTGACGGAGGGAGTAGTAATGAATATGCTATTTAAACAGACTAGTTCATGATGAGTTGTTATTGTATAAAAGATATATCTGTTTAAACATGTATAGCGCCAAAATATGAAAAAAAAAATATAAACTTTAGCAGTGGCGCGGGCCAAAATATTACCAGCAGCGCTCATTTACCAGTAGTGCGGGCCAAAATAAGCGCTACTGCTAGAAAATAGTTGTAGCGCCGTAGCAGTAGCGCGCCTACCCATGCTACTAATAGCAAAAAAACAGCGCTACTGGTAAGGGTTTTCCTAGTAGTGAGATCCTAAATGAATAAAGGAGAAGAAGGTTGTCAAAAAAAAGTGGGGTTAGGAAAATGTCTACTTGCTCCATTTGGTTTAATTAGATTATCATCCTATCTTATTTTCAACTTTTCCATAGATTGCACCAGGCTTGGCATTGTTTAAGCGACCGGCAACTGGTTAATTAGTTGGATCACTGTTGTCACATGACTTGTTCTTTTTTACATCTACATGATGCAACATGTCACACATTTCCAAGGATAGTTTCAGAAAGCACATGACTTGGCCAGGTTCATTCGAGCCAAGGCGACTAGTCATTTTTGCTAGCCATCTCCCAACCACATCGACACGCACAATCTCACTATATTTGACCAGATGTTGCGCTACCAAGTGTTTAAAAATTAGAGCACCTCCGGTAGTCTTTATCGTTCATTTCATTTTATTACGAGCAACCAGCAGGTGCTCTACCTATTCTTAAGAAGAAGAGAATAACCAAACACACTTGGCAATTGAACATAATCAGCCAACACACAGTGGAATCTAGAGAAGAACTTTTGACCTATGATTCTCTATAGCAGTTTGCCTATAGGCTAGTCATTTTCAGCGCTAAGTTTCTAGGATTAAGCGGAGCTTGGCTGTATGATAGTGGTTTGTGTGATCCTGTAGATTGATCATTTGTTTACTCTAGTCTAGTAATAATGTGATTTTACGCCATTTTTGCATTGTGGATTCGACGATTCATGGTCTGTTTGGAAGACAAGAATTATAGACAAGAATTTTCATGTTTGAAACGAGACCCCATCATATGTAGTAGAAAGTTGTGAGCAACATTGTAATATCTCTAGATGGATTAAATTTTTTAATCAGGAGCAACCTGGCCATTATATTTCCTTGCATAAATATATAATAGTTCTATGCAAAATCCTTCTGAGATTTCTACATGATATGTCTTTCGGATGTTTGTAAAAATTTCAACAGGAACTGACAAGTATTGTGGTCATGTTAGAAAATAAGTATCATGCTAAAAATTGTTCTTTTTGCAGTACAAAGGTTCCAAGGCAGATATGGCTGGAGTCTAGAATTTGAATAGTTTTTCTTATGAACTTTTTATATCAATAGTTTAGAAGGTTGATAATGGTTGGATTGCCAGAATTCTGCTCTTTTGTCCAAGAGAACAACTGAACAGTGGTTTCCATGAAGCAACAAACGCCAGCTGGACTGAACAGATTTTTGAGTCTGACCTGTCTCTTTTTTCTTCTTGTCAAAAAGACAGTCCCGACCTTGCTATACATTTCTTGTCATTAATGGTGAAGTTTTTGTTTTTGTTTTAATTGAAGAGCTTTTACCCCCGATTTCATTCAATTGAAACGAAACTGATAAATACTGCCAGCCAACAAGAATGCATGTATCAATCCAGAAGAACAAAGAAATAAGACACCCATGGAAGTGCCCATAACGCGACACTGATCACCAGCTCAAAACGAGATAACCAGAGTCCAACACAAACCACAATTAAAGGGTAATCGACCCATGACCCCCTCATCCATATAAAGGGTAATCGTCCAGATAAAGGCAACGACAATGTATCAAAAGTATCTCATATAGCATCATACCACCCATCCCCTGCCCGCATGGAAGAAGTCCACAACCACCAAAGTTAGCTCGACGCCCTTCCCTTCTCTGCAAATCAGACCAATATGACAGCCAATGAGCAGTTTGATAGACAATCACACTATGATCGCGCAGGTAAACATGATTAAAGCTAGTTGTGCTTCTGGCTTTCCATAAAGTACAGAAAATTGTTGCTACACGCACAGCCACCACCTTCTTTACTTTTCTAGGAAATCAAGCTACTAAAATCTAATCTTCTACTCCACTAGGCATATCATTTAAACGTATTACAGTTTTAATGATCACCTTCAATTATTAGAGGAATTCTAGCTTCCCACATCTTGCTGTGACGCCACAATACATGCTCAGTTTTCAAATTAGAGTACAGAGACCTTACAGTAAACTTGCCAGATTTACTTAAAGTCCAAAAACATTTATCCTCAATTTCTGTCAATTGGATACCTGGACATAAAGCTTTAAACTCAGCCCACATGACAGCAGTCTATCTCCACAGAGTCCTTCTAAATCTAATGAGACTCACATTCTCATGCAATGCTTTTGCAACAGAGAAATTGACATTTCGTATAACCTAGTTCTGTTACCATTACCAATTATTTTTCTATATTACTGAAAAAATAGGTTCAACTTTCAGAATGCCCAGCCCCAATTGAGATTGACCAGCCTTAGCTTTACAAGCTCCTAAAGTAGATTTATCAATATACTTATTTCTAACTATGGACTGCTACATACCTTGCTCATTCTCCAACTATCCAGATCCATTTACAAAGTAAAACAAATATCCATTATATTTAAATCCACTATCCCAGGAGCCCCATATCCTTAGGTTTACAAACACCTTTGATTTCACTAGATTGTACTTTTTAACATCCTCTTTCTCTTGACATAACAACCTTTTTCTAAAAAAAAAACCATCTTTTAGTAGGACCTTCAGGCAGTTCAAAAAAAGGGAACATGTTAAATTGTCATGGTTAAATTATGCTATGTTTTACATTGTCCGTGTTAACTGGAGAGCAATCTTCCCAATATAGGTCAGCTTAAACCTGTCAAACCAACCTGTACAAAATTTCTTCCGTATATTTCTGCTGAAATTGAGTGCTATGATAAAATTCGTGTCGCAATAAGGACTATCCCAACATCTGTTATACCACTATACTTGAAGAACAACCCTGCATGGTAACCGTTAGTTTGTCACCTGATGAATGAGTGAAACAAATCAAATGCACATATGCACCAAAGCAAGAAACTTCTCGGCAAAGTTTGCATTATGCACTTATTTCATGACCTTGTCTGCTGCATAAGACCGAATTCATCTACGAAACAAGACTGAATTCGTAAGCATCAGCAAACATATAATAACTAAAAAGGAACAAAACAAAGTTCACAAGTAGCACTCACTAATACTAGGATTCAGTACAACCGCAATCACGGCATGCAATGGCCAAGAAAGCTGGATAACAGTAGTATAATTTAGCCCCACAGAACAAAGTGACTAACACAATTCAAGAAGATTAAGAAGTGCAGGTGTACACATACATGCTTATTCCATTGATCGGAGCAAGCCCAAGCACAAAGCGAACTGAATTAGTGCCCATCTGCATCTGCTAGTGGCTCCGATGAGAAGAGAGGAACATAAGGCAGATACGGCGCTACACTGCTTTTCTCGAGATGGAGAACACAAGAGAGTTGGCGACGCCGCATGTCCCACGACACCAATGAAGCCTTTTCGCCCTCCCAAATACCCTTGCTGACAAAGAAGAAGGTGTCGTGATCGGGATGGAACCCAACCAGCCGGTAGTCCACCTCATTTAGGTTCAGCACCTTATCGATTCTGAAACTATGCTTGAGGGCCCGTTGCTGTTTATCATAATCCTCAAGGCGCCAGATAGCTACCTCTTCAGCCATGTTGAGTGAACCCTCATCGTCGTCAACACCGACAGTGAGAGGAGCTGGAGATATAGCAGCATAGTGCAGGCACCCCTGTGACCACCCAACTATACCATAATCCCGGCCGCATGGCACGGAGATTGTCTTCCATTCCTTGCCCTCCATGTCCACAGCCACCAGCACAGTCTTGTCTTCCCAATTGTTGCTGTCTGCACCCACAAGCAGGTTGCCAACAGCGTGCAGCATACCCCCAACCAGGACACTTTGACCTACCATTACAACATCCTCAACCAATCCAGTATCACTCTGGCTCCAGGCTCCGGTTCTGGACGAGTAGATGCTCACTCCTGTGATGCCCAAGTTGTCGGCGCGCTCGAAATCAAAAACGTGGAAATGGGACGGGACTGCTGGGTCGAAAGCCAGATGGAACTGCTGGTAATAGCGGCATGTGTTTGGCCGCGGGCGAGGGGGCAGCTCCGTCCACCTCTGGGTGGCGGGATTGCAGACGACGAAACGGACGGTTCCCTCCTCCGGTTCGTAGGAGCAGAGGAGGAGGCCATTGCAGGCGCGCACCAGCCCGAAGTCCCTGTACTCCGTATGTGACAGGAACGTGAGTGAAGGGTCAAGATCAAGACCGTCGGCCTCGGCCGAGAGGCCGGCCAGGTGGTAGCGATAGCCGCCGGCACCGGTGATGTTGGTGTAGAGGACGCCGGCGAGGGTCTGCGGCAGCTTCTTGCGGTGGGCGGGGTGGGCGATGAGGTCACGCCAGGTCTTAGAGACGCACTTGAAACGGCAGACGGACCGGAAGGGGAGCCGGGACAGGATCTCCACGATGAGGTCGTCGGTGAGTCGACTGGCCGCGGCCGCCGCCTCCGCCTCCGCAAGAGAGAGAGAGTTGTCCGGCCTCAAAAACTCCTTCCCAGATATCTCCTCCTCCTCCATGGGGCGGCGGAACTGCAAATCGAGCGAGAAAATCATCAAACTGGGCGAGCTCCGGCGAAGAGGAAGAGATCGGGCGAGGACGGCTACCTGCACGGCGTTGCTGACGTCGGGGTGGGCGACGGATAGGGCGTCGGCGGAGAGGTGCGGCGGGGATGATGGGCGGCCGGCCGGCCGGCGACGGGGTGCGGTGCAGCCTGGTTTGGCGGCGCTAGGGTTACAGCGCGACTGAACAAGTACGTTTTGCAGTGGCAATCAGCCGTAATTTCGCCCAACCTTAGCACGCGTGGGCCGCGCGGCCCAGTAGCTCTAGTTCGATCGCCCACTAGTGGCTGCGCTCGTTTCTTTTTCACACGCTTTTTCTCATGTTTTTTCACTCATTTTTTTGCTCCTGCTGCTCTACTGGTTCAGCAAAAAATAAATCAGCTACCGATTTTCAAAAAACTTATAAAAAAATGGTGGACAAAAAATATAAATATGAAAAATGTTTATGCATTTGGAAAAAAATTGAGAATTTTAAAATGTTCATGGTAATTCTTAGTTGGCTATTTTTTTGTAAAAACCATGATCACCTTAAATTGCGAACTGTTAAGCGTAAAAATAAATTATTTGATGTCATACAATAAAATGTTATTGTAATTTTTTTTATAAGTTAAGCGCGGAGTGAGTTGGTGAGGGTAGTTGGATGATGGCCCACACATATATAAAACTGGTTCTAGATATTTTTATTTGTCCCGCCAACAAATCCATTTGGATGCATCCAAGTTTTCAGCAGAGTCCATCTTGATCACGCCGAAGTGCGAGGCTTCTAGAGTCCTTCCTTAGAAGAAGGTGGGCCATAGGCTCGGTCCATGGACTGCGGACCAACTAGGTTGGTACCCCCTAGTCCGGGACACCGTCGGTAGCCCCTGAACTGGTCTTCGACGCCGGGGACGACAATCTTCTTCTTACATATGACTTAAGCTTTGTCGTCTTTGGCTTGACAGGCGAGTTCTCCCCTTAGATGATTCTTTTTTATGATCAGGGATCTTTTCCTGTTAATCGGGCTTTAATCGCGCCTAATCTTAAAGGAATCCCCCCTCCGCCCATGATTTAACCAAATTCCTCAACATGAGGTAACTTAGCCTCAAAGGCCAACTGCCTAGGTGTGAACAGTGCTTATAGCCTGACTGGGTTTTTTTCAAAGCGTCTCCACTTATACCAAGGCGGGTCAGTAACTGTTACTCGAGTCGCGGCCCGAGACGGTTTTCTCATTGGCACGACTCGTCAAGGCAGAGATCGTGCTCCATATTTTGTGGAATATCATTAAGATTTTGAATCATGCCACGCATGTAATGATATCTACTCCCTCTGTTCCTAAATATTTGTTTTTTAGTGATTTCAAATGGACTACCATGTACGGATGTATATAGACATATTTTAGAGTGTAGATTCATTCATTTTGCTCCGTATATAGTCACTTATTGAAATCTTTAGAAAGGCAAATATTTAGAAACGGAGGGAGTAGTATCAGGGCATGGAGATTTTTACGGCGCAGCAAGAGGGACTCCTGGCCTTTCACAGACCCATAAAAGCAAGGGATAGCGATATCATCTTTCCCACGCTCTCATTCCATTGCCCTTGCGACCAGCTTCCTGAGCTCCAGCGCCCAAAAGACATATGCTCAATTCATAAAGGCTTATTCAACATCAAAGATCATATCAGTCTGAAAATGGCTGCACCCAAAGGACATATCCTCCTACCATTTATGAGGGACGGTACATATGGAGGGAGCCCATGGTCATATGAAAAAACTATGATGTTCCCACTTTCTTTTGAAAACTTTGGGTTTTCGAAGGAAAAAAACGTATTAGTAAGATACGCCAAAGAGACTAGCAACTGACATGAAATTCTCAAAAAAAAAAGATATGAAGAGGCCTCCTCTTTTTTTTGTGAACCATCCCCATCATACTAGATGACTGCTACTGATATTAATAGAAATGATTATGTTCATCATAAGATGCAAGGCCGAGACAACTTTCCCCTTTTTGATTTTTCGATGCACAAACACTAGCAAGGAGCCCATGTGCTACTACACAAGCATGATAAATTAGTTCAGATATGGCTACAAGTATGTTAAATATTCTCATTGACCATGTAAGCCAAATGACCATGCAAGTTAGCTCTCCACTTGAAGCATATGCATTTGGCGCTTCAGGTGGCTGCCCAGGTGGTCACCACGATCACAGCAGGAGATGTCACCTCCACCATGAATGACCAGACCTTGGCCCGGGCTGCAGCATCCATAGATATTTGTAACAGACGTGGGCATTGGGAGATCAGGTGCCACTTAGCGAGTTTTTTCGCTTCCACCAGACACATTCAGACTAATATCAGCAATTTTCCTAGGGAGTTTTTAACAGCAGGGCTCACAGTAATGCAGCTAAATCTTATTCTTCAAATTTCAATGAAAGCCCTAGCATGGCTTGATGTACTAGAAAATTTCACTTAGGTGATGACTGTCCTATGCTTTTAATTAAAGCTAGGCAATCTGAATATCAAGCACTGTAAAATCTCATATGTAATGTGCTTGTGACAAATGAAAGCCACTTTATCCAAAAAAGATGCAGCAAGCTTGTGATGTGTGTTTGTACAAATTCAGCTTACCAGTCGAAGGAAGTCCATCACCTTCTTATTCTTCCATGATGCATCAATTGAACAACAAGGTTGAGGTTTTACAGGCAGGGTTCTATTCCATCTCAAAACATCCAGGACAAGACAGAACATTCGACAGACAAGAAAATTGGAAATTAATCATCTAAAAATAACACCTAGAGAACAGAGTGCCCAGCCACAAACACAACAACTAAACAGAAGACCAAATTAAAGGCATCAGAGCAAAATTTAAAATGTTGTTATTCATCCTGACTAGTAACTACTCCCTCCGTTCTTTTTTATAAGACGTTTCAGACAGCTGAGTTTGAACTGTTTTGAGAACTGTCTGAAATGTCTACAACGTCTTATAAAAGTGAACAGAGGGAGTACTAACTAAAGAGCTACATAACAAAAAGAGACAGATAAATAACTCTAGGCACCGGGCACTGTCCTGCAACACAAGAGCTAGCTAGGTACCATAAATTAAGTTATATCCCAACTCCCATGCCGTCTCCTGACCTTGCCCAATCATCATCATCATCAATACTTTGTCCGAAAAACATGGGTTGCTTCACCCTTGGGTTTTCTCCACACTGGGACAGTGATGCGGAGAGATCTCGGGCTTCTTGTGAGAGATTCCATGTAGCAGTAGCATCCCTGGTCGTTTCAGGTGACTCTTTGTACCTGTGAAGCAAAAAACCATTCCCAGGTTATAGATTGGTTTATTGGTTCAAAAAACTACAGTAATAGATTGTTGTATGAAGACATGTACAGGTTTGAATAACGTAGTGTCGGGGACATATGCATGCTAAACTAAAAAAAATCCAACAGTTTGGCAGTGCCAACACAAAAAAGAAACATCAACCGATGAGTGCATCTCTACAACAGTAACATCTCTAAGACCAACAAGAAAGCTTGCGATGGAAGAAATTTTACTTTCCTTTCCATATACAACTATTATTCCTAGTGATATTTTCCTATTCCTGCATTTTGAGAATCCTACAAATCAAAGAAGTCCTTATTGCCAAATAAAAAGGAGGTCCTTATTCCTCCATGATGAATCAATGGAACAACAAGGTTGAGGTTTTACAGGCAGGGATGCATTCCATGTCAAAACATCCAGCACAAAACAGGATCATTCAACAGACAAGAAATTGGAAATCAATACTCTTATTTCAAAGTAAATAAAGCAGCACCTACACGACAGAGTGGCCTGGCCACAAACAAAACAGCTAAACAGCACAAGACCGAATTGAAGGAGCAAAGTTTTGAATGTTTTCAATTCATCCATCCTGAGTATTAACTAACTAAAGAGGTACGTAAAAAGAGACAGCCGGCACACAAAAGCTAGCTAGGTACCATAAGTTAAGTTATTCCAAGTCCATGTCGTCTGCCATCCTTGTCCGTTCATCATCATCATAATCCTCATCATCAGTAGTCTGTGCGGGAAATGTGGGCCATGTCGCCCTGGGGTTTTGTCCACTGGGACAGTGATGCATCACATGATGTGGAGGGATCTCTGGCTTCTTGTGAGAGCTTCCATGTGGCAGTGGCATCCCTGGTCGTTTCAGGTGACTCTTTGTACCTGACGAGCAAAAAATCCGTTCCCAGGTTATAGATTGGTTGTTGGTTGCTTCAATCACAACTAATTGCTACACCCTCTGTTTCTAAATGTAAGACGTTTTGGCAGTTCAAAACGTCTTACATTTAGGAACAAGGGGTGTAGATTGCTGTTTCAAGACATGTTCACTCACATCAAGTTGGAACATACGCGTGTTAAACTAGTTATTAAACAAAATCCAACGCTTTGGCAGTGCCAACACACACAAAACAAAATAAGAAACATCAACCGATGAGCGCGCATCTCTGCAACACACAGTAAAATCTATAAGACCAGCGACAGTGTTCCCCATGGAAGAAATTTTACTTTCCTTTCTATGGAAAACCATTATTGCTAGTGATAATTAAACCTGACGGACTGCAAAATGCATTAGAGACCTACCAACGAATTCAAGTCAAGTTGTTCTTCCTTTTGTTATACTATACAGCAGCAGCAGCAGCAGCACAGGGAACTTTTGATCCCTATTTTGAAATCATATATTATACATACCAGCATTCCGCTGGGCAGCACTATCTTAAATCAGACAACAACTAGCTAGGCATGCAATGCACG